CCGCCGCATCGCCCCGGCCCCCCGAGGGGCAGCCGGCGCCGGGAGCGGGGAGCTGCCGCGACCCTCCTGTGGTGGCCTCTGCCTTCCCCTCCCTCTCCGCCACCACGGTGGGGCAAAGGCAGCGAGGCCGGCCGGGGGTTTTGGCCCCGCAGTGAGCACTTTCCTCCCCTGCCACCTCCTTCTGCCCCGCCTGGCCCTCGCGATGGTTCTTGTTTGCCTGTGCCACCGGCATCCCTGGGCTCTGTGCTCCTCGGCCCAGCAGTTAAGGCAGCAGCAGGTGGTTTGCACGGGCACGTTCCTCCATACTTGCGCATTATAACTATGAATGGACCGGACTAAAGGGTAGAGTGGGGAAGGAACCGCCCTCAGGTCAAGTGTCCTGGCAGGCGGCCAGCCCGTCAATGGCAGATGTAGCAACTTTTGTGGGTAGATACCTCTGCAAAGCAGAATTGCATCTCCGCCTGCGAGGGCTGTTGTGTCTGGCATGCACTGAGCGTCTCTAGAGTCATGGAGTTACGGTGGGTGCTGAGGATGGAGCACTCCCTGTAACAGAAGAGATGGGTTCAGAAGACACAGGAAGAAGCTAGGAAACTCTTCTCCTGTGGTTGCATATACTTTTGAGGTCTAGACCCCAAATAGGGTGCCATGCTCTTTGGAACGTGGTCATCCCTCCATGCATGTTTGTACAGCACCTAGCATCTCTGATCCTAGCAGCTGTTTTCCTACAATACTAGTGGAGGCAGAATTCACGACCCTTTACACTGAACAAAGCTGCAGGCCATTAAAATGGGCCTGTATGAGTCTTTCTGTTATCTGGCACTTCAAAGGTCCCTACAGGCAGTCGCCCCTCCTTCTTTCCACCTCTGGCTTCTCCCCATAATGACACTCCTTTCTCCTCCTCTCTCCACTCACCAGATGTAAGCAGCTGTCAGCAGTATGCAAGAGGTACATCTTTCTTCTCCAGTGCTGCTCCAGTAGTGTTCTTGGGGTTTGTATTTGTTTTATTTTAGCCAGGTCATTAACATCAGTTCCTCTTTGCCTCCCTCTGGCTATTATCCCCCCCTTCGCAGCTGTGGTATGCAACTTCTACACCCCCGTAATCTACACTGGCAGCTGCAGCCCCAAACCCCACCAGCTGCTGGTCTCTGGGCCAGTCAGAAGAGGTGGAAGGAGCTGGCTGGCCAGGGGCCCAGGGGAGCCAGGGCTGTTGGTGGGAGCAGAAACACTGCGGTGAGGAGAGGTAGAGAGTGTGTGGTGTGGTGGTCGCAGGCGCAGGGTGCGGGAGTGATCTGAAGGTGGGCTCCGGCACACGGTTAACATGGTAGGGGTGGGAAGCACAGCTGCAGTTTGGTATTGATAACCCTGTAACGGAAAGCCTGCAGTGAGCTGCCTGCTGACATGACTAGCTCTGCTGATTGCAGTTCGTAAAGGACTTTCTACCACTTGCTATGTTAACTTTTACTCTAATTCATATATTTTTAAAGATACTTACCTAATCTAAGTGAACGTCTTTGCTGTTATAGCAAAGGAGCAGCTGAATAAATACTGCACTGTGCGGCAGCATTGATGGATACGTGGGTTTAGCTCAGACTTTGATTTGTATGTGTGCGTGCACAGAGGAAATGGAAAATATAGAAAATGGTATTTGCATGACAGCATTCATATTGCTGCTATTGTTTAAAGTGGTATTTCAATGACTTGCTTTGCAATTCCAACAAAATCCAATGAAAACTAAAGGACATCAGTCTAGTCACATTAAAATCACTTGAGAGTTTTCTAATGTTAGAAAGATGGCCTTTTGATTTTTTCTGGAAATAGAAAATGTATGTTGTTTGTTTGTTTGTTTGTTCTTTCCTACTGGAGGGACATAAGCGTTATTGCTGTGCTTAATAAGCTGAACAAAACCCCTAAAAATGGGGACACCTGTTACTAACAGTTGTAGTTGTAAGATTCTAAAACATTGCTGATGTGTCCCATGGTGAGGCCTTGAGCTGTACTAGGGTTTATTTTTTTTTGTCACTAAACACCCACTTATCCTTTGGCAACTAGAGATTCTGAAAAACAGGAATGGTGCTGAAAAAGGAGGCAGAGAGGTGCCATGCATATCCTCTCAGAAGCCCGGAGGTGGGGTAGGGATTAAATTTGCTCCTCTTTCTTGCCTTTATGAAAAATAAAATTATGTCAGAAAACTGGGTCGTAATCCTCCGTGATCTAAGAAAAGCACAGAACCCATGGAGAGAAAGTCAGCTCCTGAGAGTGCTATGAAGTTCCTCCTCCTTACAGCCCATACGGACTGTGGCTTCTTTCCTGCAGGCCACAGATTTCCAGAGCCCTGTATCGCAATCCCATTGACGGCAGCGCCTGCCTGAAGGACTGGGGCCCAACACCTTTGCTGTAAAGGGAGTGGAGCACAATAGGAGATCAGATTAGTTTATTGTTATCTATAGAGCACGCCTAATTTGCAGCCACTCTTATCTCTCTTACTGTATTAAATCTGGAGTAAACACTAATTAATGTAACCGCTCTAATAGATTAGAAAGTATGCTGTTTGCTGCTCACCCCCTGCTCCCCCAGATCACACTGGATTGCCTGTGGGGTTAAAATCTACAGAATAAGACAAATCCTGATATTTCCTGAAATCGAGCTCCCTTTGAACTAAGCCAGAGGTTTCATCCATTCAGCCCCTCGGGTTTCCCAGGAGTCCGAGCCCACTGACATTGCCTCGGTTTTCTCAAGTTCGTTAGTGTTACATGCAACGGTGTTGAACTAGGAACGCGGGTTGATTGGTGTTATCTCTACTGGCACTCGCTGTGCGGCCTGCGCTTGACCCGGCTGGATCAGGCCGTGCCCGAGGCTCCCGTGTTCGATTTCCAGCGTCCTGCCGCCCTCTGCCCGGAGCTTCCAAATGGGGAGCGGCCGCCGTGGGGGGCCCGGGCGAAGGGGGAGAGGACTTTCGCTGAGTGACCCGTCCCGGATTTCGCCGTGATTAACAGGAAATGCTCTTCGAGCATCATCCCGTAATGTGAGGGCGGGGGGGGG